TTAATATTTCTTTCTACACCAGGATCTTTTTCTACGTAGCTGACGCTGGTAACTGTGCAGGGGCGGATCTAGCAAAGTTTGGCCAGGGGGGCCGATAGGGCATGAACAGGGAAAAGGGGGCACAAAGACATACTTTTCTTTCTTATTCTCATTTAAAATGTCTAGCTTTTAATAAATAATTATCTGAATCTTAAACCCAAAGATTAATCTTATGTAAAATGTATAGAAGTCCATTACTGTATATAGTAACTATTAAGTCTAATATACCCTAGTAAGCTATACTACTTTTTCCTTTGGGAAGGTGCCATCTGTGCAGTCTGCAATTTTGTTGAAGAAAGATGTTGAATCTATTTAATTATTCTTAAAAAAATAATTGATTTCTGTGCATTTCTTTCACACTTGCATTAAATTTAACTCATTCACTGCCATTGACGGCTATAGACGTCAATTGAAAGCATACGTTTGGAAATGGCTGGCAGTGAATGAGTTAAGTTGATTATGTCGATTAAGCATCATGAGGTGGAGGGTGGAGGTGGCTCCCTATTTTGTTGCTGGGAGTTTGCAGCCCTATTAGTCAGGTAGCTTAATATTTCTGCTAAGTGCTCTTTAAAATACCAGAATATGGAGGATGGAGCAGGTTTAAGTTTATTAGATTGATCAGTGTTGCTAAACTATAACATATTTTTTGCAAACAGGTATAACAGGATAGCTTTAGTGTTTGTTTGTTTTTTGAGTATTAACTTATACAAACTGCAGCAAGATATTTTAAAAAACTGTTTTATTGATTAAAAACACTATATCGGATTCATATCGGTATCGGCAGATATCCAAATTTATGATATCGGTATCGGACATAAAAAAGTGGTATCGTGCCATCTCTAATACTTACACATACTAATGTTACTGGAGAAATGAGAAACACATTATTACATTATGAACACATGTGAATTCAGTCATCTCCATTTTCTGAACACTTTGTAGAATACATTTAATGAATAAACAACCCCTAATTTTTATAAAGTGCCATGTGTTTAAAGAACCAAGATTCATACGAACTTTTATTAGCAACGTTTAAAAAAACGAGCATTACATTCAAACCAGGGCAGATTCAAAAACCAGAAAGCTGGGAAGAGTTGTTATTTCTCCCTCTGTCGTGGTCTCTCATTTGTTAATGTAGACGTATTAATGACATCATTGTTTATTGTTGGGAAACGCCCCCTGTCAGTGTTTCCTGTCCAACAGGGAGGAGACTGCAGGCGCCTCCTTCAGCAGAGTAACGGATCTGTGTGGGAGCTGTCGGTGGCAGCAGGTAGTAACTCATACTGTGCATCTGTTTCACTCTCAGCTGTTAATCTCAGACAGCGTTTCCATATGAAACACATCTGTTTGTGTTTCATGTACAACTTGTGTGTCTCCCAGGAGCTGCTGTGCATGTTCGTTTATAGTGAACTAAACTGATCACAGTCAGAGTTTAAACACGTGGAGTCACACAGACATGATATAAACTCATATAGTCACATGATCACAGGAACTCACCTGCCCGTGCAGGTATGAATGTATGAACCTGGTTTTATTCTTGGCTCTGATCCTCATCCTAGTTCCAGCTGATCGATCACAGATCAGAGAACCGATCAGTCTGTTTGTAGGATGTTGATCAGCTGGGACAGCTGGGACAGACTCCAGCATCAAACCCACCGACCCATGTGAGTGTCTGACTGTCCTCTGTGTCCTCAGGGCCACAGGAACCTCTGACTGCTGAAGAAACAGTCTGAGGAGGAGGAGCTGGTGATGAAGAGCAGCCTGTGTGTATACAGTATCTGTTGTGTATTCAGCCCTGAGGAAGATGAGGATGCAGCTTTGCTTTGGCCTTCCTCTGCTAACAGCTAACAGCTAACTAACCTCAGCCAGATGTTCTGCAGCTGTTTGTCTAACATTAGAAGTTTCTAAAGATGATGATCGTGTTTCTGCTGTTTCTGCTGATGGAGTGAAAATGCTTCATTTGAGTTAAAGTTCAAAGCTGCTTACTATCAGGAAGTGTCAGAGAAGATCAGACAAACATCATGAAACACCCCTCTGACCTCAGAGCTCCAATCAGAGCAGGAAGGACCC